AATGTTTAGCTGTGTCCAATACAACCTTCCTTCAGTATCTTGTGAGTTCAATTTACGAATCTCTTCTCCTTTTTTTTAACGAAATGAAAAGTATCCAAGTCTCTATCTACTATGGGATTCTTCGAAACCCAGCTTCTCTTTATGTAGAATTTTAGAGTTGATAAGGGCTTTCTCTTTTATCTAGTATTCTATGAAAGCGTAAGATTTACTCATTGTAGGAAACTCTAATTACCAATCCCCTTATCACCTTAAACGAAAATGTTTCTTATTTCTATATTCACCTAGTCATATACTATTTATTAAATTGACTTTTACTGACTAAATACTGCTAAATTTAATAGTAAAATTAGTAGTAAATGCTTACCGATTCTTTTTTCGCAGACTAGATTCTACTGATTCCGTCTCCGAGATGTATCACCAGCTCTCATATCTTGTGGCTCCTTTCACGTGCTCGCCTAGGTCTACTTCCGGCCCCAAGTCATCCCCGGCTTGGCCGGCCTCCAGTTCTGGCCAGCTTGCTACATGCCAACTGGGCGATTTGGCCACCGTATACTCGGTAAATCTGGATGCCCGAATGGGTCGTGAGCATCTTGGTGAACTTGTATCCAGATGCGGTTGGCCCCGTTTAGCGCTTGTAGTGCCCGAAGAGGCTGCAGATGGTGCTGATGGATTAAGGCTGGTTAGTAGCCATTTAGTTTTTCTAAACATTAGCCTGATGAATTTCACTACTACTTATGAATCATCCGATTTTGTACGAATTACTATGCTAGGTAGTTAAGCTTAGCTACTTGCATGAGAGCTATATTCACTCTAGGTCGCATGTGATGAAATGATAGTTACATTTTCCCTCAAGGATATGAATTGACGTTACGCTTCCATTGAATTTCACATAGCATTGCCTCCAAAGATTTAAGGTCTCGCCTTGACCTCATCAGCATCCCCAGCTTCACTCAACTCTGGATGAAGGTACCTTTAGGAAAGCAAGGCTATGTAGAATTCAATGGAAATATTAGGCCTATTCTTATCATTGTTGGAAAATTTAACTCGCAATCCTCCATCAACTTTGTGACCTGAGGTAAATACAGTTTTTATTCAGGATCTATAGGGAGTTTCAATACCTTCTCAAGACGAATAGCTTACTTGCGCAATTTGTTTTATTTGTTTACTATTTATGTATGCATGGCAACTGGACGTGTTTTTGAATCTTTCTATCTCATATCACTATATATTGCTAAGCCTTAAAATTAAACAATTTGAGTATCGGTTTATTTGGTTTACTTTTTTAATTTGTCTTGAAGTTAGTTTTACTATTTATATATAATCATTTCATTCGCACTTTTGCTCTTTTATCCTCACTCTTTTTACTTTGACCGACCATGCTAGCCAATTCACTCGGCTTCCAATGGCGCATCTGCTGCCTTGTTCTCAGCCTACTCATTGTCCGCAGGTCAGAAGTTCAGTCTTGGTTTGCCTGGTCGACGCTTGCATCCAGTAAATGTGTCTCCTCTACTTGCATCTTGTCTTGCCCCGGTTCGCATTATCACTGGACTTGAGAATGGAGACAAGGTTTGTAGATGGCTAGCATCTTGTCTTGCAAACAAGTCTTTGGGGATATTAATTGGTATAAATGAAGATCAAATTTTTTATGAAGTATCATACTGCTATTTTACACTATGGCTAACTAGAAAATATGGATTGCCAATAGGAATTTTTTACAGACATTGATTTCCAGTGATATTAGACATTACAACAAAGATGATATTGTATTAGGAAGACTTTCAGTTCGCATGAAAGTGAATGAAGAAGAGATTCGTTGGTCGATCTCACCATATGAGGACGGATGAATCTCGTACTGCAGCCGTTTGGCTTCTATACGATATTCATTTTGACGCAGTCCACAAGACTTCCTCCCTTATTTCGGGTGAAAACGTGTTTAGCTTTCGTCCATCATATGATGGATATTATCAGAGCTGGGTTTCATTCTTGTAAGAGTCTCACATTAACACTAGGACAAGAACGCTATCCGGCTCTATCATACTTCTTATATAGACTCAATTGAGCCAAATAAAAATTAAAAACCTAGATAGATCGATATATAGTGGTTTGGTTAATTTTATTTCATACTAGTCCTGCTATTTTTGCTCGATTGTATAAGTATGTGTCTATATGCGTCTATATGCAATACGGTTGCTAAATCAGAGTTGTCAAAGTTTTAATCTCAGGTCCTGTTCCTCAAGACCTAATGACCCAAGAGAAAACCTTGACTGAGACTGCGTAGGTCAGTAAACAAGTATGGTTGAGATGATAATATATGAGCTTGTAAGCATGAAAATCAAGTTATGAAACCATTTGTCCTAACCTTTCAGTCTAGGGCCATTAACGTTTAACCACCCAAGGAAAGGCAAGACTGGGGTTGTGTAATCTGACATGTCTGGTTTGGTTGATGAGCTTAGTCTAACATTTTGGACGAATGTGAGTGAATTAGGAACAATCATTGAGCAGATAAATTGAATCGCCTTCTTTTTGACGGCGGTTCAACACCCTCTCTTTTTCAATCTATCAATCAAGCATAAATGGTTCCTGCTCAACTTTCTACCACCGTTCCTCACATTCAATGTATTTTCTAAGCTATTAATTTTATTAGCTTAGGCTTATTTTAAACACAGACGTACCATAATCAGCAAATCTACTAGTTTGAGACCATTTTATTTCATGTCCAGTTTCTACCATATGTTCGGCCACTTCTGACCATTGGATCCAGCTACCTTCGCAAGCATTTTTATGTTCTATTAATCTTTGTCGAATAGGTCGGCATGTCTCACCAACATAACATCGACCACATGAACATACAATCTTGTAGCAGCCGGATCTCGGTAATGGGTCATATTTCTATCTAAAAGATGTCATAACAGAAGAAAGTGAGAGGGTTTCTTTGAACCCTGTTTTTATACCCCACTTCTTCACTAATTCGCCTATCTTTTTTGAGAGAAAACATGACGGCAAAATTAGGGCATGGGAAAAGGTCTCTGTCTGTGTATCTTTATTAAATGGTCTCCGTCTGAAAATGTATTCCTCAGTAGAGAGATATTATTCTCAATAAGGCCCAAAGGATAA